ATACAAGGGGAAGTTGGGAATACAGTTTGCTTTAGGTACGAGAAAAATTTAAAGAGAACGGAATTATTTTTATACCACAACTTTAGGGTAACTTTGTTTAGGACTTGATGAGCAAGGACCGTGACGACAAATTAATGTGTAATTGCAAACGTCGTAATTTTTTTATTGAGTTAATTATGAGACCAGGAAATTAGTTTTAGGAGATTAACAATTCACTTGTAATATTTAATAATTTGCAAAAACATATAAACATTTATTCCATAGGTAAAATTTTTACACTTGAAAACGTAATTTATTAAGCTACTGCTTGTTCACTCTGTCGACTTCCCTGAGAAAAACGAGCAAGAAAGTTTAAGGATTGCTCTTTTCAAATAAACTTAAATGCTATAGAATACATTTTGAATCATATTTGTGTGGAATCTACACTCATGTTGCCTTTTCATACATCTTTATCTAACAAGTAGCCTACAATTTTGTAATACGACTTTTGTATTAAAATACTTTTAATGTAAGTTTTAAACTTAAAAAATGGTAATCTTAGTATATGCGCCGGAATCTTATTGTAAACTTGTTTTCAGTTCCCCATAAAAGAATCACCAGGTTTACCAGGTTAAATTAAATCGTGGTACCATGGAGGTTGGACTTAGTTCTAAGGTTAATATTATGAATATCTTCATTCTTAATGAAATTATTTACATTTTTACGGGCATACAAAATATTTGAGTAAATGTACTGTGATGCCACAGTCATGATACTAGTCTCCTTAAACTTGTCTCTGAGAGAAACCCGAGAATCTAAAAGGTACACAGAACGAATCGCACGTTTTTCCAACACAAATATGATTTGTATATCTGCCGCTCGACCCCACATGAGAATCCCGTAGGGCATTATACTACGGAAGTAACTAAAGTAATTTCAATCATAATCATTGATAATGCAAGCAAGTGAAAGTAAGTAACTCAAAAACCATAGGCTTTTACAAAGGAATTTACAAATTTAGTATCTAGGTACCCATAAGAATTAACTTCAAAATCAACCCACACTTACCTACTAAGTGAGAAAGAGGAACTCCAATCTAAAGATGCATTTATCGCATTTCTATCTTTGTCGGGAAGAAAATCGGCATTCGATCAGAGAGGTGAAAGAATAGAATCGTAACAATGGGACTATCGACTTCCCACCCTGACTGGATAGTAGGCATTTAATGCGATTGTGGGGTATGAGGGGCAAACCTTCAAGAAACTGTTACATTATATGTTTATCTTCGTGTTCAATGCTACAAATTGAGTATAAAGAAATAGATTACTTTTTGATTTGAGAGATTTGCTGGTAATAAATATGTATATAGCAGACCATAGAAAAAAAAATCGAAATTTATGTGCAAAATTTAATCTGAAATTTACCTTGAGCATTTCGATGGAGGAAAGCCTCGTAACTACTACTACAAGTAATAAAACACAAGTTGTAAAACTACACGTCGAAGAAGGTTTGCAACACTCGGAAAACCCGTGAAGTCCCCAACCCGCATTGGGTCAGCATAGCGGACTAATCCTAAAAGCCTCACCTTAATTGAGACCCGCAACCAGTAGTGGGACGAATAAATGGATTGATGATGATGATACATAAAAAGAAAACTGAATTCCGATTGCGATTAATAAAGTCAGTATTTCATGGATGTGCAACTTTATCTATAATATTTTTTGCAACTTAGACTATTATTATACATTTTAGTAGCAGTAGAATTCCTTGTGAAAGAATTCGTCCCGGGAAGTACTTACTGCCTTACCAATTTCTGTGGCCAAGCTGTAATGTGAGCATTACTGTGTTCCGGTTTTGAAAGGTAAGGGTGCTGGTGAAATTACAGGCACATAGGACCTGTCAATTTATATCTCAGGATGACGGGCGCAGTGGCAGTGCCTCTCATATCATTGTAATTTAAAGCTATGAGTGGCACTGCAACTGTTGTGAACAGGCGTGTCGTGTGTATAAAAAAAAAAGATATTTTTACTCGATGTTCGTTCGACATAGGTTCTATTTTCATTTACTTAGAACAGATCGATACCTCCAATTAACACTACGTCAACTTAAGTTTTGGACCTGTTCTGTTTTTATTTTGTTTTTTGTTTCTTTATTTTATTTTCATAAAATTCTTTAATTGTTTCTTTTTTTTTTCACAAAATTCGTAAAGCATAATATTAATAAATAAATATGGCTGTTTACAAAAATAACAGAACATTACCAAAAATAAAGGTGGCATAGTGTTCATTGGAGGTATCGAGATATTGTAATGTTTCGTGAAACTAGATTCTCAATTAAAAGCTGATTAGCCCTAAAAATCCATGCAAAGAAATTAATACTTTTATAGGTTAAAAAAGCGTTGAACAACGTTCGCGGTATTTCAGTAATCGTAAGGAGCTTGCCCTCCCAAACACCAACCCACATTCATTTACAATTGTATACTACGTTTAATACAAAGCGATTCGGGCTTTCAGTGGTAAACGGAGAAAATCAGAAGCAGGCACCAAAACAAATTCTCATATTCAATCATCGGGCTCTCACAAAGGCCTCGGGGCTGATAACTGAACAATGAAATGTAACAAGTCGTCTATCCGGCATTGTATGCGAGAGGGCGAGGGGTGGCAAGAGGCGGGAATTCCATTATATTTCCATTTCCACCTCGATTCTCGCCGACTTATCGCGGCCTACCTCTCGGACTAGGTAAGTCTATCTTTCTATGCCGTTAGTCAGTGGGGCTATACGTCAAACCGTGCTGAACTGGAAATGTTTTGTGAAATACCAGATTCCATTGCATCAACATTGATAAATATTACATAACGTTAAATAGTGTATTATAAAGCACAATAATATTATGAACAAGCAAACAACACTGCGATTACTCACAAATAAAAAAAATTAATGACAAAACATGACTATTTCATCAAAGCAAGACAATTTTGCTGTTGAACAAAACGTATATTGTCGTTAATAAAACATCGTCTCTGCATTAACTTCAACCTATCGTAACAAAACATGTATATCCGTGGATCGTAAATAGTATATAAGGTGGATAAAATGAGATAAATAGTAATGCCTACACATCAATGAGTAGGTGTACGATACAGTTCACCATATGATTAATGACGCGCTCGCTTCGGAACAGTGTGTTCTATTTCTAAACAAAACAAGATCCGGGCTCCTATTGGTAGATTTTTTTCAAAATGGCAGCCAAATTTGAAGATAATTAATGATCGAACGGTTTCAAGTAGATAACAGAAGATGTTTAAAGAGAACTTAGCCTTAAGTGCGACTATTTGCTACCGTATATTCGAGTGGAACGTATTTTTCATACCCTAAATATTCTGATTGGTGTGTGCTCGTTTGAAAAGTTCTAGTGGTTTGTGTTGATTGATATGATTATGCTACTTTGAAACTATCTACATCATTTACATCAATAGCAAATTTCAGCACTATTTATTGTAATAAAATATATTTACATTTTTAGTTTTAATTTACTTGCGTAATATTCAATTATCTTTATCAAAAAGCTCATACAATCTATCTCTGCCTCATCAAGATCTGTGGCGTATCGAAGTTGCGAATTAATTAACCAATGCGGCCAAGTCCGTGGGGGGACCAAGTCAAAATTGGCACATCTTATCTGGCATCGGCCGGGCTAGATAAGGGTTATGACATGGGTTCGTCGGAGTCGCCAGAACTTGGTACGTTGTTGGCCGGATACTGTTCCAGCCTGCTTGTTTATAAGTAATGGTAACAAAATAAATGTAAATAGTTTAGAAACTAAAATTCCTAAACTGATACGTTCAAAAATGTTATTTACAACAATTTCTTAAAATATTTTAAACGTAGTATAAGACGCCCTCTGGCCAGATGGACTGACGATTTGCGAAGGGTTTGCTGGCAGCAAATGGGTGCGACAAGCTGGGAACCGAGAAAAATGGCATTGGGAGAGGCCTAAGTCCAGCACTGGACTGCGATAAACGGATGATGATGATTGTATATAATAATAAATATATGGCATTTATACTTAACTCCTTTTCTTGAACATTATACATTTCAGTTTTGGACAATTTTTTTTTACCTATCATTAAAAATCAAACTAAACTATTATAACTAGATTATTAATATTTAGTTAAATTAATATGTTTCATACTAACGCTATAAATCTATAATTCAGAAGAATTTTCTTTATCTGTAAGAGCAGTTAATGAATAAAAGCCCTCGTCCAGTCACCGCTTGAATGTTCAATTTCGTTCATTGCGCTTCACTTGACACAATTGAGGGTCATCAAGATTAATTCCTTGCATCTTTGTACTCTACTTACGTATGGAAGGTCATGTTCTTTGATTTAAAATACATTGTTCACGCTTCGAGTATAACTACACCCAACACTTTTTGTCACTGCAAAAACATTTTTGGACGTAAAATTTGCAACCGCGTCGCACAAAAATGCAACTAAAACTAAACATTTAATGAAGCAACAGAAGCCCAAGTCGCACTACTTCGACATTTACAATAGAATCCCTCATTCAAATAACTTGACCATAAATTAGATCTGAGACAAATTCAAAAATAGTAGGAGACGGTAGCGCAACTTGAAGCTGCTTTGTTCACCATCGGCGTCAGCAAAACAGAAGGTGAGCTCCTTTGTGCTCAAGTTGTAAATTTTATGAAAAGTGAAATTCCTTTAGAATGCCCGTTCGGCTCATAAATAATCCCGGAACATAAGGAAGGGCATTGTTTCTGGCACTTATTGTTTCACATCAATGCGCACGTGGAGCGAAAGTGTTTTGCGAATTTCGTGCTTTTGCTACCTGTGTCTATATTGTGCAAAATTTTATTGTATTGATATGTCAAGAATTTGGTTTTACTTTTGTTTGGACTTACTAATTTTAATTGTGTAGTTTTGTCCCTAGTTTCATTGTGATATTGCCTTGACACTTAAAAAATATACAAAACGTAAAGAAAAAGTTTAAACTTACCAAATTGACTCCGCATCCAGGGATAGAGTGGACTAGGCAGCGACGCATTGGTATTTGGCGGGGGCTGTTGAGGAGGTGGTTGCTGCGAGTGCATGGACTGCTGGTGCATGGGCGGCATCTGCGTCTGATGCTGCATGTCGTCCACTGGGTACATGAGGTGCTGCTGATGAGCAGGCACCCCATGCTGCACCATGTGCTGCTGTGGGTGCATATGGTGCGGCATCTGCTGTGCTTGCTCCAATGGAGGACTCCCAGGGACTCCTCCTGCCGTCGCCGCCGCCGCTTGTAGCTTGCAAGACGTGTAAACCGCAGGCGCCGGTGGTTGATGCCCATTCGGACCATACCCGTCCGACTTCGGACCCATATTATGCGCCATTTGAGACGGACTATCAGGCCGGTAACCATTCTGATCCATTTGTTGGTAATACCCCAAACGGTCATAAGGCGGAAACCTAGGGTAGGGCATTCCGGGCGCAGGTTGCGCCGGGTAATGATGCTGTGCTGGCCTGAGTTGCTGATCACAACCCTCCATCTCGTGCCCTTGCTGTGGCACTGCGCCGTAATGCGCGTGAGCTTGCTGGTGCTCATGGCCTCCTCCGTTCCTCATATCCGGCATGTATGCGTTAGAAAAATATGTCATACTGTCGCAATTGTTGGCGCTCATCGCGGGCCCGCAGCCCGCGTGGCTCGCGTCCGTATCTTCCGTCGCAGATTCTCGGCCACTGGGGCCGACACTACCACAGTTCTATCACCACACAAACACTTCGGATTCCATTCACCACACGGCAGCGATCGATCTCACTGGCGTCTCACGCAGTGACAACGGACGGTGTCTCCTCATCGGTTCCTCGACGTATCTGAAAAGAAAAGGTTAATGCACTTAGTCGATTGATCTATAATTAAATTATTTTTCGAATGGTCAGGTGTAGAGAAGAGAGGGCCCTTGATGGATTGAATGTTTGTTTTGGCTCGAGAATAGTATCGCGAGAATCATTGCGCTCCGTCGTCGACCTGACGGTCGATGCAAACAGACTGACACGTGTCCTAAGGTTGGGACACACACGAAGTAATAAAATGTCATATGTTCCAAGTAAACCGCCTATTAGCGACAACCTGTGTGCGATATGGGCCCCCGTTCGCCACAGACAAATAAACGGCATTCTTGTAAGTAAGTTCGAGTTCTGTCTTTGTCTGGCTGCAGAAAAGTGGTCCTCAGAACTGAGACAGGGAGATGAAATAGTGTCACGTCTCAAGTCAACATGTGGCTGACCCGCCGTCATATCCTCGACATTTCCCAGCAGCTGATGGAGCATGAGTGACAACTACACCGCGAGCCGACGACATAACTTTACAATGACGTTAATTTGTTTACTGAAGATCAAGCGGCACCGAAACCTCTACGTTATCATAAGATCTGGTTCTACTGGTTCTAAAGTAGAAAATTTATAGCATACTTAATACGACGGCTACTAGAATTTACCAGGTAGTACAAAAAAAAATTACGGAGATGCTAAAAGGAATAAAACACTGAGAATTTTGTGTTTAGATAAGATCGTACTAGTTATCATTATGGTTTTTGCACTTGTTGGTAGTTTAATGCTTATTACTCGTAGTTCAGGGACATCTTTTCAAAGTTACTTCGTTGTTTTCTGTTCATGGTTTGTTTAGTTGATGTTTGGTAAAAATCTGTGTTATAGCGCCGGTACCGCCCCTTTGGGGCTGGCGCAAGTTATTTAAAACCCAAAGCTCAAGGTTCATTAGCAACAGTTAATGATGGCGGCAAGTCTCCAGACAATGTACTTCTGCAGATGATACTACATATTTGATCTTACATAAGATTAGCTTGTTAAAAAAGCTTACTCTATTAAATCAATGTCTACAGAGAAAACCCCGTAGTAGGGATAGGATTTCTCTGAAGACGAGGTTTAAGCTTATTTCACCAAGCTGGTCTATTGTGTTACAGAGGATACAATGCCTACTTAATGCTACGCCACACAATTCAAAAATGTAACGATAACAAGTACAACCTTGTGACTACGTGAATACGGATGTAAATCTAATATACCACATAAAGACGGTTGCACATATATTTACATCGTGTATATCAAATGCGAATCAAAATTATTGTAATTCCTACTCAAACAACCACAGCACACTTTAGAACAAAGTACGAAAACAAATCTCAAAAGTAACAAAACAACAACTTTGCAATTAATTCTCGAAATGAAACTCCGAATGCGTGAACAATTGAATGGCGTATACCTATAGCCCTGGAAAATTTGCATGTTGAGGGATGGACAATTTAAATTTACGATTTCACCCCACGCGGGACGACCCTCGCATTTTTTTAATTTTCAATTTCCATTTGCATTCCGACAACTAGATCTCCGTATAGCTACAGAGATGACAGTTGATTTATGAAGTGGAAAATACCCTTTTAAGCCTTGTGTTCGGTATTAAATGAAAACGTTCGATATGCAATGTGCACATCAATAGGCATTTACACACATTGATTGTGTATTATACTGACAACAACCAAACGACAAAAATATTGTACGGACAACGGCACATCAGACTACACATTTTTGTTCGAAAATCGCCTCCATTGCAATGAAACAAGATACGTCAATGTGTAGCTTGATGTGCTGGCGTGTGTACAACCATTCAGTTAGTAATATATAAATAATAATTACGGGCTAAGCGTACTCCTTGAGGTACCCCTTTAGCAGCTGATCATTATTTATAACTTTTTTATGATAGCAAGTGACGGGACGAACATGTCGTGCGCCTAGTGGTAATCTACACAGTTGTCCATTAGCAGTGCCACTCAGACCTGTAAACCGCAAAGATCTGAGGGGCACCGTCACTCTGAGACATGAGTAGACAAGTCCCATGTGTCTATAATTTCATCAGCGTTCTTCAAAACCGGAACATAGTAATGCTTCCCTGGACGAAGTCTTTCACAGGGACCCACTTTTGGTGACATGTATTATTTTCCATCCAATTTCAAGCATTTATTTGAAGATTATAATACTTCCTAATATTAAAGATTTAAACTTACCTAAAATCTTTGTTCAATATCGCATAATTACTTGATTCTTAAGTAAGCCTTCTAACAATCTCCTAGTAAAATTTTTTATCTCCTGTCACAATCATAACAAGCTAATGTTATATCCTGTAATTACGTCCGAGATAAGCATCAGCGAAAACTTTAAGCTGACCGTCGTGGAAATTAACAATCTCACGTGCTTTTGATAATTTGATAACGGAGAGCGTTTTGATTTATTAACAACTGGTTGTAGCTGAGTCACTCGCTTGTTCCCATGCCCCAAGAGGTTACGGTTTCTTGGTAAAGTTCGTATGTAATTAGTTATATTAGTTTGAGCGTGAGTGAACGGATTTCTTTTTCTGTTGTTGTTTTTTATTTGCTCGTCAAACTACATATACATTAAATAGTCTTTAAACATATTTGTATTAGATTTATTAATTTCATCAATTATCATTAATTTCATGCACTTACTTCAAACTCTGAATAAATTCGTTTTATTACTTATTAAAATATTACGTATATTTTTAACGTGTGTAAAAATGAGTACCGAATTGTAGGAGAGGATGAAATGAAGTATAGGGTAATGAATATCCAGGCCAGAAGCAATAAAAAAAATCTCAAATCAGCTCTATCGGGACTCAAATCCGAAACCTCCTCATCTGGTGTCTGCTCTGGTGCGACAATATATACATCGATCGAATGAATTTGAATGGTTTTTCATAATGTACTTAATGGACCTAATGGAGTTATGTACATTGGTTAGAATAGATAAGAATGGTAGAGTCGGGAATTGACAAAATCACGAATTGCGTTAAAAATTTAGCACAGTTACGATTGACCACTGTGTTGTGTTCAACACACAACAACTGAAAATGAATATGAATCTATAAAGCTATAAAATTATTCAATATCAAACATTACTCGTTTTATCAGCACGTTACCTTTATCAAACCTTACAGCCCGTACGCTTTGTCAAACGAAAGGCTTTGTTACTTCGCTCATAAAAACTCTACAAAATGGTAAAAACCATTTGAAGAACGTTCACTAACAATGTTTTAGATTCAATATAAAATAAATCAAACCGAAATATATGCGAACATATAAAAGACAACATAGAAGACTAGAGACGAAATTAAAAAGAAAATTAATAACATTTCGCGTACGACAGGGGTGTTGTTAATCAAACGATGATCAAAGGAAGTATTTTTGGAAAATTCTCGGCGTCTGTATTTATCATTTCCACTATTTGTCAATTAGAGAGCTATTGTGAGAACTCAAAGTGGTTTTGATTTATAAATACGGTATCGAAACATAGAGTAGTATGATACAGATTCACTCGCGTAAGATTTAAATGTTAATACAATTTTTATAACGCTATAAATTTTGTAAATGTGTGTTTCATATTTGTAAGACAGTTGTAGGTAAAATAATTTTGATAACGCAAACGTATATTATATTTTCGATGTAATAAGGATGCAATTTATCATGTTAGCAAGTTCCATAATAATGATAAAAAGAATCAGTTCGTAAATATTATATTTGTGCTACAAAAAAGAGCTGTACGTGCAATTTATAAGTTAGGACGCTGTAATCATTTAAGGGAACGGTTTAAATAGTTAATTTATATTTGAAAATATAATGCATGTTCGTAAAAATGTAGCATTATTTCCGAAAAAACAGTGAAATACATAACCTTAATCTTCGAAACAAAAATAGACTAGCGACCCCTATGCTCAGACTTCGTAAAGTTAGTTCGTGATTTGTAGAGCACTGTATACGTTATTATAATAAAATTCCAAAAAAATTACAAAATTTATCTAAAAACAAGTTCAAAGCTCATTTTAAAAATGTACTAATAAGAAAAGCTTATTATACAGTCAACGATTATGATCGATATTATCAACGATAGATGATACGAACGCATGGTGTACTTCTAGCTAATAAATGATAGCCATGATACAAAAAAAAATCATTCTTCTCGGGTGGATTAGACTTGCTAAGGAGTAGTGGTTTTTTAATTGATGTGACGATTTCAAACGTAATTTGATTAACCACGAAATAAAGATATTTGATTTGATTTATTTGATTATTATATATTTTTCATTTAAATAATGGCTAAGTTAAAATACTTAAACAGTACGAATAGTATACCTACTTCTTATTTTGTTTATAAGATAGAAATTTCAAGTTATTTCCTTTATTACTTTACAATTCGTATAAAATTTGCCGAATTATGTCGCCTCTCTCTGGCCTTATTACGCTCTTTGGTGTAATAAGGCCAAAGAGAGGCAAAGATTCTACGAAGGAAATTAGTCGAAAACTTTTTTATGCTTAGATGAGAGTTAATAAATGTCGCTTAAACAAAGTTTGTTTCATGTGGTCCGTATTATTTTTATGACTTAAATGCGCTTTTGACGATGATCCCAAGTAGCTTTATTGTACCAAGTGTATTGTAAAAGTGTCTTTATGTTTCTTAATCTAAGAAACCATTAGTAGGATTTCAAGGGCCACCTAAGTAACTTCGAATTTCGATACACAAGCGGAACATCTCAAAGGGTGACGCGATGGGAACATCCATTAGTACGTACGCGCACATTTATTAGAGTTCCTGTTTCTTCTGATCTCATTCGTTTGTAGTTAACTTTATATGTATAAGTAGAAGTTTTATATTAATTGTTGATCATTTTTATAATATGTTTACTGTATTAAATTTTTTAAAGTCTTTGCAAAACGTTACTAGTTCGTTGAATCAACATATTTTAGGAAACATGTTTATTGAATACATATCACGATATTTTACTATTCATG